GCATGTTGGGTTCCATCGAACCCAGGCAAGCGTGCTGGGTTCGGTTCCTTGTGAACCCAGCGCCTGGGTTCGCAAGGAACCCAACGCCTGGGTGGGTTTGAAGGAACCCAACAAGGCTGGGTTTCGAGGGGAAAGAGAAGGGAAAGGGGAAGGGGATGGAGAAAGAGAAAGGGAAAGGAGAAGGAGAAAGAAAAAAGAAAATAAGAAAAAAAATTTTAAGTTTTATTTTTCATAATATTTTTTTATATTATTTTTTTTCCATATCATCACTTTTTGACTATATTATCTTCCACGTGGACAATTATATGACATGTCATTTGGTAACCGTGAAGTAACAGGCCACGTCACACAATTTTTAACGGAAGGACCAAATCGGGGTAAAAATGATAAACAGTAGAGACCAAATCAGAGATTTTTTTAGTTTAGGGACCAAATCGAGAGTCCATACAATAGTTAAGGGATCAGAAAGGGGTTTTAACCTATATTAAAGTAGATAAACCCTTAATTTATTAAAGTCTTTTGATTATCCCTCCATTTTCTTAAGTTGCCTTATGAAGAACAGGCGGTCAAAAGAACAAACAAAATTAGTTACTTCCAAAAAAGTCCTCCAACTTTTCATTTATGGCTAAATTTAAAAGAAGGAAAGGTTTCACAAATGAAATTCATGCGAAATGTAGATATCTTCGTTTGCATTTCATTTCCTGCAGTGAAGCTCTGCATTCACAAGTCAAAACCCCTACATAAGTCCAGTTGCTCCCCTCAACTCTGCTCTCACAACACCTTTCTGGTTTTCTCTCTCAGAACTCAATTCTGTTTGCATTCCTTCTCTGCATAATGTCTGATATTGTCATCAGCCTGGTTGTCAGCCCTATTATACAGGAGGCACTATCCAAAGCCGTTTCATTTGCACGTACACACATCCGGATCTCAGCGGATTTGAAGAGGCAGATGGGGGAGCTGGAATATTCGCTCAACATGATGCAGGATCTGCTCAAAGTTGCAGAGGACAGGGAGAAGCGTCACGATGCAGTAAGGAAATGGCTGCAGAGGGTCGAAGATGAAGCTCACAATCTGGTGGATTTACTGGACAAATATTCTTATGCAGTTCATCAGCAGAACGTTGGAACCAAAGGCCAAATCAAGAATCAGGTGCACGCTTTCTCTTCTCTATTCATATCCATGCCTTGCCAAATTAGGAGGATTAAGGGCTCTTTGGATAACATTAGACGAGATGCAAGTATCATTAAATTACTCCATAATGATGCAACTGTTAGCCAAGATCATATTGAGACAACCCCCTATTCTTCTGATAATTCAGAAGTTTTGGGAAGGAATGATGATGTCTCAAAAGTTGTCAGATTGCTGTCTGACTTGAGCAGGCAGAATCCTCTCTCTGGGCTTTCCATGGTAGGAATGCCAGGTATTGGAAAGACGACACTAGCGAGATCAATATGTAACAGGGCAGAGGAAGAAAACTTGTATGATCTGGTGGCCTGGGTGTGTTTATCTAAGAATTTTGATGTAAAAATGATTTTAAAAGCTATGTTGGAATATCTTGATAGCAATGGTGGTTCAATGGTTAATACTGGTGCAATACTTAAAAGGCTTAAAAGCAAGTTAGAAGATAAAAGATTTCTTCTTGTTCTTGATGATGTGTGGAATGAAGATCCTCGTAGCTGGAAGACTCTCTTCTCTTATTTGTTAAATATTTCGACACCCACTGGGAACTCTATTGTTGTAACGACTAGTAGAAAACAGGTAGTGGCTTCAACTTCTGTAATGGATGAAGTTCCTATGCACAAGTATGAATTGCAGAAGCTATCAGCTGAAGAATGTCGGTTGATAATGGGGGAGAAGATTCTCAGATCATCCAGAATAACTACAATACCTATGGATTTGTTAAATATTGCAGAACAGTGTGGGGGCTTGCCACTAGTTGCAGCTGTCATTGGTGAAGCATTGAGCCATCATACAGATGCAGATGAGTGGTTGGCTATAAAAAATAATACAGCATGGGATTCACCACATAGAATGGAGATTGTATCTAAACTAAAGAAAAGTTTTGATCATTTGCCATCACCTTTGAAAAAATGCTTTTCTTACTGTTCAATTTTTCCAAAAGGCTTTGAAATTAGAAGGGACGATCTAGTCCAACTCTGGCTTGCTGGAGGGTTACTTCACCAATCTGATGACAGCAAATCAGAGAAAGAGGAGGTTGGTGACAAGTACCTCAATGATTTGGTATCCAGTTACTTATTCCAAGATGTGATGGATGAGTGTGGAAATATCAAGTTTTGCAAGATGCATGATGAGGTGCATAATCTTGCATTGTTTATTTCAAAATATGAAACATGTATTTGGTCAGATAGCTGTCCCATTGAGGAGGGTTCTAGTTTTCGACATATGAGGGTTATTTTTGATGATGATCGTCAAGCCATTCCAAGTGGTGTTGCTGACAGGTTGCGATCTTTGTTCTTGGAGGTTGATGTTTTCCGCACCAGGGCTTTACCCCTCAGAAGTTTGCAATCTTTAAAACTAGCAGCTGTTGACAGAAAAAAGTTGCAAGAATATCTTGGCAAATTGAAGTATCATATGAAATACCTTGACATATCAGAAAGTGACATTAAAGGACTACCTGAATCTGTCACCAAGCTCTACAATTTGCAGACTTTAAGATTCATGGGATGCAGATCATTGATGGATCTTCCAAGTGATATTGGAAATCTAGTTAGCTTGAGGCATATTCATGTCAATGATGAAAGCCACATGCCACGTGGTGTCGGGAAGTTAACTTCTCTTCAGACTTTGCCACTATTTGTTGTGGGCACCAAAAAGGGCCAAAGAATTGAAGAACTTAAAGATTTAAGCCAACTCCGAGGAAAACTGAAAATTTGCAACCTGGAGCAAGTACGTGAATCAGAAGCTACTGAAGCAAAACTAGAAGCAAAGGTAAAATTGTTCAAGTTGCAATTTGTGTGGAGTAGAAATAGAGCCATCAGCAACAACAATGATGAGGTTGTTCTGGATCGCCTTCAACCTCACTCAAATTTGAAAAGCTTAACTATTGAGAATTATAAGGGAGTCAACTTCCCCTCATGGATGGTGAAGGATGTCAGCAGTTCAGCCTCTTCATTTCGACTCAACAGTATTGTGAAGTTGAAATTAATTGATTGTGATGAATGTGGTGATATTTTGTGTCTTGGACTCTTGCCCAAGCTTAAGGTTCTCAATATAAGGGCAATGTCAAAAGTGAAGAGGATTGGCAGCACATTTTATTATAACAGAAGCAACATTGCAAGCAGCAGCCAGGGTGTCGGACGGTCAATCACACCATTTCCAGCTTTGAGAAAACTCATTTTAAGTAACATGACAAAGCTGGAGGAATGGACAGCAGAAGACACAGATGTGTTTCCTAGCCTAGACGAGCTGCATATTAAGGATTGCCCTGAGTTCAAAACATGGTGGATTGATGGATCTGCATCTCCTATGCTCTCTATACTAAGCATACATTCATGTCCGAACCTGCAGGCTATCCCAAGGAGGCTGTTGAATTTAATATCTCTTGATATAAATGATTCTTGCAATTTAATGGGATATGCTAAGGAATACACCAAATGGTGCACCATTTGCCACATTCATAGCATCAGAATCAATGGCTTGGTGGTGAGGTATGTTTGATTTCCAAATCTTATTGTCTCCCTTTATATACCATATGTTCTATCTCAGATTTAGGCTGAGTAGTTTCCAAGTTTTTAGTATTGCCAAGAGAATGCAACACCTAAATAGCATTGCAAAGCTGATTTTACCGAGAGGTAATTAATCTTTTTCCGTGACAAACTGGGTAGTGATTCTAGTGAAGTTATTGATCCAAGTATCTTTTGCTACATTCTTGATGATGATCATACTCAATTCACTTGTGGCCAAACCCCTTGCTACAAGAAGCTCCTATTAGTCACAAATTCCCAAGATTTGTTTCACTGGTTTCTGATATATCTTTCTGTGTTAGAGGCTTCCTCAATCTGCTTTGCAATCTGTAATCTACTTTGACTGTTCTTGAATCTAAATTTCATGTTCACGAGACTTCCAACTACCACTTCACTGTCTACATCCAATTGTCCATAATCAGACTTCCCTGATGTTGCCAGGTTCCTACATGCTGTATGAAGTGAATATTTGGGCTTAGGTTAAATGCTGTAGACATCCATCCTTTTTCCATTTTGTTAGAAGGTTTTTGAGTTCTGCAAACAATCCCATTATCAGTTCAAACTTGCTCCTCATAAGCTTTTCTCATCTTTATTATACTGTTGCTGGATTTGTTCATGAAATTATAATTTGATAAATTGAGTTGCCTCTCAGATTATTATCTGGTTTTAGTTTTGCTTTGTCTCCTTCATGTATTGCAGGGATGGCACGGGGTATTGCTTCTGAATTTTTTTCTTTAGCTTTCTTCTTGGCCCTGGATACCAATGCAAGGTTCGAAGTACATGTTTTCCTCCAAGTCCTTCACTAAGCCAGGGTGAATCTCTTACCTTTTATTTTCATGATATGAAATGCAATTAGACATAAGTTTTAGAAAGCAACAGGAAACATGCACCAAACTTCTTTTATGGTTTATAAATTTGCAAGTTAAAATGTCTTTAAAACACTCCTAGGAAAGTCGAATTGGAGTTATGCAGAATTGCAGGAAATGACATAATTGCGGGCAATGTTTTTCTTTTATTGCAGTTAATTTCAGTTTATATAGACATCAGCAGTGCACTCTTTAATATAACTTCCTAATTTTGCTTCAGACAGAGAAGAAAAGAAGTCTCTTCCTCATCAACTTCCACTTCTCACTGGCCGTAGGAACTGTCATTATTCAATTTCGATTTAGTGGATGCTTTCTCCAAGAGCTGAGAATTGGGTTTTGCACCCAATGCCTCTCCATCTAACTAACAATTAAAGGCTGAGTCTTGTAATGTTTTATCAGATGCCACTCAGAGTTCATAAATAGAGTCGGTGAGTGCTCAAATTATCATGAACTTGTCTTTCTGACAAACCTTTTGGGTTCCAATAGCATAGCTCTTGATTTATTTTATTTGGTTTGGTTCTTATTGTTAACACATTTCACAGTTCCTCTGGGTAACTCAAAAGCACCACTGCAAAAACTTGTGTGGCAGCTGCATTTGTTTTGGCATTCAGTGTGGGAAAAAAAATTTTGGGGATGCTAGATTCCTTTTTGAAGGTTTTACTATTGTTGTAAGTTTCTAGTTCTATCTAGTGAAGAAACTCAAAATGTAATTGTTTTGGCATTCAGTGTGGGAAAAAAGGTTGAAATGGAGTTTTGCTGCACAATGACATTATTGCGACCAATGTTTTCTTTAAGGGCAGCATAATTTCTGATTATATAGAGACCAGC